GGCCCATAACCTGACCTCTACAAGCCTCAGTTACCTCATCTGTAAACTGGGAATAATGCTGCCTGCCTTTCAGGGCTGGTGTGACAATGAAAAGAGATGACACTTTCATTCAGCAATATGTGTGAGCGCCTACTATGTGCCAGGGACTATTCTAAATGCCGCAGATACCCTAGCAAACACCAAGCCCCTGCCCTCAAGGGACTAAGGGCCTAACACGGGAGACCAGATAGTAAGTGAGTGCTCGAACAGACAGGGTCATTTCAGTAGTACTAAGTGCCACCGAGAAAACAGAGCAGGACGTTGGGACAGGAACTGACAGGTTGTGGGGGAGGATGGCCGACTTCAGAGCAGATGGTCAAGGAGGGGTGGGACCTGAAGGAACAGGAGGAGGCAGCTTCATAAAGAAATGGCGGGAGAGCGTTCTAAGAAGAAAGAGCGAAAGCAAGGATCCTGAGACAGAAACGAGTATGGGGTGTTTGGGGACAGAATGAGGCCGGTGCAGCAATAGCCAAGTAAGCGAGGGGGACAGGCAAGAAAGCTGAAATCAGAGGTGAGGGGCAAGGGCCAGGTCATACAGGCTTTTGGAAGTCCTGAAAATAATTAAAATTAATAATAAAANGCAAGGGCCAGGTCATACAGGCTTTTGGAAGTCCTGAAAATAATTAAAATCAATAATAAAAATCATCAGCGTTATTATTACTGATGCTATAAATAAGAAGCCTTTCTCCAAAACACCAAGCTTTTCTAACTTGAGGAACACCATGCTGCCCCTCGCCTCCTGTTTTTCCACCGTCCTCCAATTTGTCATCCCGCTGGAGTGGAAACCATCAATTCCACTTCGGTCCACAGCTATAAAAAGAACGCTGGAGCTGGTGATGCCGATGACCCAACGTGGGGGCTAAGATTAGCCCAGGAGGCTGTCACCTTTCCTTAATGTGAGAACCAGCTGGGGTTCCCCTTCCTTGGAAAACTTCAGCTGTTCCACTCCACCCCACCCCGCCCCGCAGCGCCTTTGCCGGCCAAGCTGTCCATGGAGATGGGAACAGGGATGCATTTTGGAAAAAAGAAGTTGAGCAACAGGGATTCCCCCTGTAGAAGGCAGCCCTGCGCTGGGAAGCGAGTTCTTGGGGTCAGAAGAGCAGAACCAGCTCCCTGCAAACCCAAGGCAAGCTCCCTGTCCGTCACAGCCACCAGGAGCCAGGCATCCTACCAGGGAAGCCCACCGCTCCTGGGGGCAGGGAGTTCAGGGGCATGTCAGATACCCCTGCTTGTCTGCTGGCATCATTCTAGGAACCACATTCATCCGGGATTCTTTAGTTGGACATGAAAGGGTTAGAACTGCATCCCCTCGACCCCAGAGACCCACTGCAGAAGTCAACACTTTATCTCACCACAAAATGGTCCAAGTCAGAGGCTCAGAGCAGCTGAAAGGTCGTCAGCCAAATTAACCTGGTTCTAAATTTTTTTCAGAGCAGAACAGCTAACAGTCAAGGGTGCAAACTCTGGAGCCAGGCTGGCTAGGGCCAAACCCACCACTGCCATTTGCCAGCTGTGTAATCTTCACCAAGTTACTTAACCTCTCTGTGCTCAGTTTCTCATTAGTAAAACTGGCAGAGCAGTAGCTATCTCATAGGACTGTGGTGAGGAATCAGATTAGTTAATACATATAAAATGCTTAGGACAAGGCTTGGTGCATTGTTTATTATTGTTACTTATTGTTTTTCAATGTTTCTTGGTTCCATGAGCTAAAATCATATCTTTGTCCTTCTACAGACTAAATATAATGATAATAATAGAAGCTAACATTTAATGAGCATCTACAATGTGCCAAGCTCTATGATCTCATTTAATCTTCTCATCTCTCAAGAGAAGTAAATCATCTCTATTTTACAAAAGAGAAAATGTTGGCTCAGAGAGGTGAAGTGACTTGCCCAGGATGCCAAAGCTACTAAATGTAGACCATAGATTCAAACTCAGGCTGTCTGACCTCAGAGTCTGTGTCTAACCACCACAGCATGTAGCCCCAAAGCTTGCCCAGCCAAGGCCAGTGCCAGGGGCAGTGTGTGTAGAATAAACCATGTGTACAGACTGAGTTATGATAATGCTGGAGAGACCATAATATAATAACAGACTTTCAGTGAGTGTTCCCTACGCACTAAGAACACGCTGCTCATTCATGCATTGAACTCCAGGAGGAAAGGACTGTTTCTATCCTATTTTACAGAGACGGAAATTGAGGCCTAGGGAGGTTGAAAAAATGAAGAATGCTGGGTATGATCTCAGGCAAGTCCCCAGACTTCTCCTTTGCCGTCTGCCTCCCACAGGTCCTGGGTTAGAGAGAATAACATGCAGAGAGTGGCAGGCAAAAGGTCCACCCAGAGATGGGTTCAATCACATGGAGCTATTAATATTTCTCTTCTTGTTAACACACAACTTTTTCAAGTTGAAATAGGCTCTGAGTTTTCCTCCCTTCAAGAGGTAAACTGTGAAATTTCCTCCAAGGCCAAGAAAAGAAAAGCTAGAGAGTACATATATTCATTCATTCATTCATTCAACAAACACTTAATTGATCTCATTGAGTAGCTTAATGAGAACATGAGCTCTCTGGACAACTGAAAGCTGTCTGGCTCCTAACTCCATGGGGAACTTGGCAGGACCTGGCCTCCGAGTCATCTCTACATGGTTCCGTTGCCCCCCTCTCCACAGAAACTGACAACATGGGCATGGATAACAAGACCTCTGTATACTACTAGCATTTTCCTCTCTACTAATAAGGCATTTTGAAGCCATACACTTCTTGTGAAAGTCAGCAGAAGGCTAATAGGATGGCTTCCTGGTACAGGAGATGCATCAAAACTGAAGAGGCTAATTTCATAGCACTCTCCTGCTCAAGAACCCATCATGACTCTCTATTATATTATCCATGCGCAGAACAACCAAGGTTATGTCTCTGCCTGCCACTGGAAGACCTCTGTGTTCTGGCCTCTGACTACTCATCAAAGCATTTCCCCTTGTTAAACAGCCTCTACGTCAGCATATTGGCTTGCTCTCTGACTCAGAGCCTCACAATTCTTGCTGTAGAAAATATTTTACATTTTTCCACCACCTGAAAAATAAGCCTCCCCAGAACACTTAAAAACATGAATGCCCTTTTGAATCCACTACACCACATACAGGAAATAACTAAAACAAATAGCATTAACTCATATATCAAGCACTTACTCTACACCAAGCATTTTATAAGTACTGAGCATGTATGAACTCTTACCCTCATGACCACCCTATTAGGTAACACTGTCATCATCCTCACTGTACAGATGAGGAAACTATTGCCCAGAGAGGGTAAATAACTTGTCCAAGGTCACACAGCTAGAAAGCAGTAGAGCTGGGTTTTGAACACAAGCAGACTGGCTAGATGGCGAGTTCTTGCCTAGCTGACAGAATGAATGCAGATGTTCATCACTGAGTTACCTATAACAGCACAGAGCTGGAAGCAGCCCAATGCCCAATAAAAGGGGAATCGTTAAATGAAGTGCTGGACAAACGTATAATAGAATGGAATCATCCATTTCAATGTCTGCGTTCCTAACCCTTCTCTACACCACCACTGACCGACCGTGTGCCTTCCAAACCACTCCCAAACCCATCCATCCGTCTCCAACCCCCCCTGCCATAGCCTGACTTAATACTGCCTTTTTCAGTTCTGTCTTCTGTAGGGCCCATCCCAAGAGGAAGCTCTGTGTGAAAGAAGCATCCCTCCCCCAGACACTCTGCTTCCTCCTGTCTGCAGGAGTCTTAGTAGTACCCAGATCCATGATGCATCCAGCTGGAAAGGCAGCCTGCAGAGGGGGTGCCCTTGGGCGGTGCACAAGCCCACGACCAGACAAATTGCCTGTTGCATTCTCTGCATCATCCCCAAGGCAGTAAACAGAGAAACAAACGCCAATACCCCTTTGAATTAACCTACTGAAATCATGACCGTTAGAAAAAAAAACTAGGTCTAGCATCCATAACTATTCAATAATTGCATAACCTGACATGCTTCCCTTGCTGCCTCCTCATGAGCAAAACATATTACCAGACCGTGAGTGCAAGAAAGACTACAACGCGGCCAATAAATAGAAACGTTAGACTTCTCAGAGCAAAGGAATGCAAAGTAAAAAGAGGTACCAATTTGGCAAATGGCACTTCTGGGGAGAGGTGAAACCAGACATGGGACTGGTAGAAGTTTCAATCTGTAGATTTCTGGAAGGTAATTTAGCAATCTGTATTTAAAACTCCCAAAATGACTCTCCAGAATCCCACTGCTAGGAATACATGGTAAATAAACAAATAAGATGCACATGGAGATTCATGTTGAAAAGATTAGTTAATCTTAAAAGTATAAGGAGATTAATCACAACACGATTTATAATAAAGATATAAGTAGCCAATGTTTATAGGCTTACAAAATACCTGGTGCTGTTATAATTACTCAGCATGTAGTAACACATTGAACCTTGTCACAGTCCTCTTGCTATTATCATTGTATACATAAGGCAATGGAGGCACAGAGAGGTTAGGTAATTTGCTTAAGATCACACAGCAAGGAAGTAGCAGAGCCAGATGTGATCGGAGGATATCCAGGCCCAGAGCAGACACACTTAATCACCATGCTGTCTGGCTTCCCTTCTAGATAATAGTAAGACGGTGAAAAAGTTGACGTCTCTATGTGAAAAAATAATTTTTAAAAAAAGAGTTGGGGTTGGGAGGGGCCAACGTTATCATCCAATGAAACAACCCAGATCAGCTAAGACGCTTTATGGCACATTCATGCGATAGCGAACTGTGCTGACATCAAAATCACTAGAGATGTGGGAAACTTGTCACAGCGAGGAAAAAGGGTGGAATATGAAACTCTACAGAACAGATCTACCTCCAAATCAATGCTGCTCAGAACCAAAAGATGGTGGTTTTCGTAAGGCGCCAGGGGACACAAAAGAGCTGAAAAGCACCCTGACCTGTGGTCTTCTCCGTGAACACGACTTTGGACTCGGCCGTGAAGTTCTGGCCCGTGAGAATCATCTGCTGGCCGCCGTAGACCAGGCAGCTGTCGATGTCTTGTCTTTCCACCATGGGCAGCTCGTGGGCGGATCGCTGGGCTGAGGACAGAGAACAAGAAGTCACCGTGAGGACACTTGAGAGAGGCTTTCAGGTTTCTCAGTGACGAGCTAGGACACGCTCTGCCCACCTGTCACCTGTCGTCATCGCTAAATGTAGAACCAGCACCCCTGCCAACTCGACTCTGCAAATGTTATGTTCTTGTAAGTGTGCCCCAAGTCATTTGGGTGAATTGTCTCCTAACAACGTATTTGTTTTCCTAAATCAAGGGACGGGCCTGTCCTCCTTATAGAAGGGAAAGGCGAATGAGAACTTGATTATTGTATTTGTTATGAAAGGATGGACAAACCGACTTTTCCACGAGAGACAACCTCAGCCAACACCACAAGGGCGCACACAGGTGACACATTAGGACTCAGTCCCTGAAGGGTTTAGATAGATTCGCTTTGAAATTCATTCGCAATTCTGGGCACGGTCTTCAAGACACCCCTGATCCGCCCCCGCCATCTCTGAGCTCATCCCCTAGAGCTCCCCCGTGCTGCTGCTGCCCCAGCCATATTTCTAGAACATTCTGTCTCTCAAGCACACTCAACACACTCCTATCTCTGAGCGTTTGCACTTCCAAGTGCCTGTCTCTGGAAGCTTCTCCCCTGATGACCCGCATGGCTCCCTCCCTCACGTCTTGCAGGTTTCTATTCAGATGTCACCACCCCGAGGCTTCCTTACCCTCCTCCCTCACAGTTAAAACAGTGGTGTCCTGACTGTCTGTCTGTATGTATGTATGTCTCTCCCTCTCTTGCCTATATCCTGCTTTACCCTGCTTTATTTTTCTCCAAAGAACTTTCCACTTACAGATGCTCTACATGGAATTTTATTGGTTCAGGTCTTTCTCTGCAACCACTAGAATGTAATCCCCCCTGGGGGGAGGGGAACCTTTGCTTTTTGTTCCAACTATAAGCCCAGGGCTGGGACAGTGCCTAGGATTTGGGAGGAAGTGCTTAAGAGGAAGGGAGGGAGGGAGAGAGGGATGGACGGACATAGATGTGGGTATATCTCAATATATCTTGGCACACGTATCTCTCTCTCTCCGTATCTCTACATATCTGTATTCTCACCCATATCGCCAGTAATGAAAGAAGGAAGGATGGGCAGGCCTGTGCTGAGAGCTTTACTGCAATGATATACTTGAATGCTCACAGCCACCTTCAGAGGAAGTACTAAAATTACGCACATTTGGGAGAAAATTAAAGTTAAGAGAAGTCAGGTCACCACGTGGCCAAGGTTATGTGGCAAGGCTTAGATGAACCCTCAAAAGCTGCTTTGTCCAGCTTGAGAGCCCCATCCCTTGGCCACTCCAGCCGGCCACTGAGTCTTTCCCAGGGGAAAGAACGAAGACCCTCTCCAGCCACCTTCCCAGGGCAGAGGGAGAACAGGGTCCCCGCCAGCATGAGGGGCCCATCTGCTCAGGCCTTGCCTTGGCAGCGTGGGCCCAAAAGGCCGGCCCTCCGCTCGGTGAGTCAGCCTGAGTCCTGGCCTGCCTCCCGGAGCCCGGGAACTGGGCGGAGTGCCAGCCCTTTCCGTGCCAGGGCCCGTAGACCTCCCGTCCGGGAGCCGGGCAGCAGCCATGTGGGGCCCGAGGCCCAAGCCTAACGCTCCCCTCCTGGCCGGCCTGAGCCTCCAGGTGGGGAGCATCCCCCCTCCCCAGAGCTACGTTAAAACCGGCTCCTTCAGGAGCAACCATGCACTTGGCAGCATTTAAGGAATCTGCTGTGGACCAGCCAGAGGCTCCCAGACACTTCACTTTGAACGTGCAACCCGACGACTCCCAGTGATCCTGATGGTCCCCCCTACCTGCTCAGCCCAGGCTCTCTGTTCCCAGGGACCAGCCGGCCAGCGCTGTTCCAGGGGGCTGCCAGTTAAGAGTATATATTAAAAAGGCCTGTCCACAGAAGCTAATTTCTCCCACATGGGCTGGGTTATTAATCCTTTCTTTCAATATACTCATTTTGTATGACTTCCTAATTGAGTAGCTACAAATGCAGGTTTATTAGCAGTGAAAAAACCAGCAGCCTGGAAAAATGGTCCCAGCTTTTAAGTTAGGACTTTGATGAAGTTGGGGAGAAGGGGGCTACTGGGGGTCTGGCCCCAGGGCTGGGTGGGGAGGTGGTAAGAGCCATCTGTCCCATTTTTCAGGTGGAAAGCCTGAGTCATTGCTACTGGGCAGGCTGGCCAGGGGCTCTCAGCCAGCCAGGCCAGGGGCTGGACGAGGCTGCGAGCTCTGGGCGCAGGGCGGGAGGCTGGCCCGGCCAGCTGCTCTGTGAATCACTGTGCAGAGCTGTGAACACAACTTGTCTGTTTCCTAAAGCAACCTCACTGCTGCTCCCTTCAAAGTCTCACAGTTCCAAGCAACCACTGATTCTTTGCCAAACTTGCCCTTCCCTTCCCTTCTCCTTACCTGAAGGAAAACTATCTTTTTCATGAAAAATTTAGAGAACAACCTGAGTCCAGTCCGGCTTCGGTAAGCTTTTATCTGTACTCCAGTCTGGCAACCTAGAGTGAGGGCTGTGAGCGTCAGCACCAGTGGGAGCTTGTTAGAAATGCTGAACCTTGGGCCCCCACCCCAGACCTATTAAGCCCAAATCTGCAGCTTAACAAGGAATCCAAGCGATGCTCGGGCACCATCAAGATCGAGAAGCGCTGCTGGGCTCTGGCTGCACATCAGAATCAGCTGGGGAGCTTTAACAATGCTGACCCTCTCCCCAGCCCTAATTCTAGAGCAGGGATTCTCAGCCTGAGCACTGACATTTGGGCTGGATCATTCTGTGGGTGGGGGCACCTGTGCACCGTAAGATATTGAGCAGCATCCCTGGCCTCTACCCACTAGATGCCAGTAGCACCCCTTCCCGTGGACAGCCGAAATTGCCTCTGGGCACAGCTGATGTGCTCCAGGGAGAAGGCAGCCAAAACCGTCCCTGGTTGAAACAAGGGTCTGCGGGGAAGACCGCAGTATAATTTTTTTAAAAACAATCCTTAATGTTCCAATGGGCCACCCCAGGTTTGATCTGAAGTGCCCTAGAAGCCACAGGAGAATTCCTGGTTACTGCTGCTTGAGTTCTGGGGTCACAAAGCCATGGTTGGAGTCCTACCTCTGCCAACTCCCTGCTGTGTGACCCTGGGTAAGTCACTTCCCCTCCCTTCGTCACGGATGCCTTCTCTGAAATCCTAACAGGTTGCCAGCGGGGAGGGGAGTAGGGGGAAGCAGAATACAGGTGAAGGGGAATAAGAGGTACAAGCCTCTAGTTATTAAAAAGACACCTCACAGGGATGTAATGTACAGCATAGGGAAATAATTGATACTATCGTAACCACTTTGCACAGTGACAGATGGTGACTACACTTATTGTGATCACACCATAAGGAACATAAATGTTGCATCATGATGTCGTACACCTGAAACTAATAAAAACTGTACGTCAACTATACTTTAATAAAAAAGAAAAAAAAATTAGAATATTGGGAGGCAAAACATTAGTACAATAATATTTTCAATGTACTTAAAGGAAATATCGACTGTGGACCAAGACAAAATAGTTTTTGAGAATAAAGATAAAATAAAGATATCATAGAGAGAAAACTAATAATAAATAAAATCCTACCAGTGCCCGCCCTCTTGGGCCCTCCTGCAGGCAATAGGAGATGCTGCTATAAACATGTAAACGTGGTCAGAATATAATTGGTAAAACATCTAATGCCAATAACCCAAATGTCCATCAATGGATGAATGGATTAAAAAAATGTGGTCTATCACTCAGAAATATTACTCCACCACAAAAAGGAGTGAAGTACCGATACAGGATACAGCAGGGATGAACCCTGAAGACATTATGCTGAGGGGCAGGAGCCAGACACAAAAGGACACATGTGAATCGATTAATATGAAATGTTCAGAACAGGCAAATCCGTAGAGACAGAAAGTAGGCTGGTGGGTGCCGGGGTCTGGGGAGGGTCTGCTAATCATGGGTATGGGGTTTCTTTCTGGGGTGGGAAAAAAGTTCTGGAACCAGATCATGGTGGCAGCTGCACAACGTTGTGAATGTACTTATCAATGCCACTGAACTGTACATTTAAAAATGGTTAAAATGGTAAATTTTGTGTTATGTGTATTTTACCAGAATATCTCTCTCTCTCTCTCTCTCTCTCTCTCTCACACACACACACA